CAGGTGCCCAGTGCAATGTCCATCTAATTTTTCTACTTTTAGTAGAGACAGGGTCTTGCTCTTGCTCACGCTGGTCCTAAGCTCCTGAGCTCAAGTGATCCATTTGCCTCAGCCTCCTAGGGTACTAGGATTATAGGTGTGAGCCACCGTACCCAGCTGACCATGATATTTTTTGATATTAAAAAGGATTTCTTATTTTAGAGTTGGGAACCCTTGGTTTAAGTTTTATATTATGATAAGTTTGTCTTTTCCAAGTGTCAGATTGGCTGTAATTTCTTACTAAATGTTGCTTAGTCAGCTTACTTAGTCATATGCTATTTGTTTTATTTAGTGATTATTTCTGTTTGCATGTTTGGCCTAAGTATATTTATATCTTCTTATGACCCATTTCCCCATTTTAGATTTTTTTTTCATAAAAGAAGTTAGTCCAAGGGACAATAAGAAGATAAAAAATATTTAGTGATTCTTTATGCCCAAATAAATTGTACATATTCAAAAATCTATCAATTTTAGATCTTTCTTCTAACTTATCTGGGATAAAATGTTATTAATTAAATTATGCTATTTTAGGGTGCTTTTTGAGGCTAAGACAAAGACTTTGATTTTATAAAAGTAATCTTTTTTAGCTAAAACAGATGTTCTTAACAAACAGGTGTTCTGAAGCATTATTTTGATATTTAGTTTTTCCTGACCCTTTGAAATACTGAGCTGAGTTTTACATAGGGCATGATAAACTGTCTGAAAACATAGTGCTTTTTTTCCTTAAAGAATAATTAAAAATTTATATGGAATTTTAGTTCCTTATTATTGTAGTGCCTTTATTATGTTAAGTAGGTGCATGTAGCTGTGGATATTAGGCAAGGCTTCCAACACTTTGTAAAAATCTGCCCGGGGGGATCTGAAAGGAAACACTTAGCAGGCAAGTAAAAATTTTCATAGATTAGTGTTATGAGTCGTGTAAGTCTTCTTTAGGTGAATGATACAAGTTGAGTGTACCTTATTTGAGATGCTTAGAATCAGAAGTATTTTGGATTTCAGATGTTTTAAAATTTTGGTATATTTGCATATAAATAATCAGATAGCTTGGGGATGGAACCCAAGTGTAAACATGAAATTTGTTTATATTTCATGTATACTTTATACACATAGTCTGAAGGTAAGTTTATGCAATATTTTTAATAATTTTGTATATGAAACAAAGTTTGTATACTTTGAACTATCAGAAAGCAAAGGTGTTACTATCTAAACCACTTATGTCAATCTGTGATAGTTTGGCATTACTTATATGCTACTGATAAGGAATCATTTTCTTACACTGATTTATGCATATGTTATTAATAGTAGAAACTATGACATACCATTAATCTAGTGAAAAAATAATATGTTCAGGGTTACTAAGCAGCACAGTAGATTCACCAGAGTACTAGTGTCAACTGTTAGACAGTAACCGCAACACACAATAGTGAGCTTTCACTCCACCTGCAATGCTGTGTTTTGATTAAAAGGTTGCTTTAGGCTGTATTTTTTTAGGTGAGAAGGAATATCAGAAGCAATGGAGGTACCAAGAAGTAGGTCCTCTAGGGATGAGGAGGCACTCTACTGGATGGCTTTTTAAAATGTTTGCTCCAGAGTCATCTGTCTCCTTAACAATGGGTTTTGTCTCTTAGTCATTTCTT